ATATCATTCTTTCATCCCTAATAAACTCCATTTGATCCTTAATATAAGAACATAGGTTTTTTATGACTGTAACTTAAGGTAGAATCTTGTGAGCATCTGTCATGACTTAAGATAAACAACATTATTTATTTATACCAGAAGGGGACACAGATAAACGTTTTGGAATTCTATAGATTCCATCTTCAGTATCTAAAGCAAAATAAAATAATTATTTCATTATTAAGTAAATAAATAAAATGTTAGTATATTAGTATATCTTGAAGTATGTTTCAGTATACGTGATTCTTGTTAAGTCTGCGATTTTACTTACATGTATTAATGATAGCATATTAGGCTATGGTGAAACATAAATTTTATGTAAGAAATATAAATTGAGACTTGTATTAGTTGTCCAAACATAGTTGTTAGAAACTGATGTTCATGGGGTGTAGTATATCATAAAAGACTAAACTAGACACGTAACTATCTAAAATTTTATCTTTAGTCTGAAAAGTGATTTGTAATTGACGATGTATATAATTTTCAGTAAAAAGATAGTACATGTGAAGAAAATATTTGTTTTGAAATGTAAAATATTGAATATACTAGTTTTGCTAAGCCTACAAACTGAAATCTTGCATGCATTGAACATACAATGTGAACAAATAATACTGCTAGTGTTGTAAAATAATTACATTTGACATGTTTATACATTTTTGAATACTTTATTCATTTATTTATTCAGTGACATGTCTGTCTTACAATGTATTAAAATATCTCATGACAAATTCAGTGTATGTTTTTATATAATATTACAGAAATGAAAAATATATACTCTAACTGAAGTGAGCAAATAGTAATATGAACATAATGTATAAAACTAATTGAGTACTTTATAAGTTATGATGTCTAGAGTATAATACTATATTTTGAAATTTTATTAATCAATGTTAGAGCATTGTTTTTGTAAGGATAAACAGTAAATATGTTGGATTTATAAATGTGAAAGTGTAATAGCTTGATTTATTATTTAAAGTCCTTTTAAGATTATAAATGTCAACTTTTTCAATTATAAACTCTGTTCATTTGTGAAAAAGGTATTTGATGCTTTGGGGAACTAATATGATAAAATGTTTTACAGTATAAAGGAATTTATAATTTGTCAACAAATATTTATTATATACATTTGAATCGTCATAAACTGATATGACTTTAGTCTCATACATTTTACAAACTAGAAATAATATATTTTACCAAGAAGGCATATGTCTTTATGTTAAAACATTTTCTAATTCCAGACCTTACTTTCAATCCTATTGAGTGATTGTTTGGGCATGTGATGATCTCTGTTCCAATGACCCTTTGTATTTCCTAAAAATCAAAGTTTATCAAGGCCACTTGAGTTTGACTACTCAGACAGTATTAATGTGAGTTAGAACTCTGTGCAAAATAATCATTATAAACATTTTGATTTATACATAAAAAAGCTCATTTATATGCTGCACTCTAAAATCACAAAGTTTTATTAAATTTCATTATATATATATTATGTACTTCAAGTGCATGTTCTATAGAAAATGATAAAATAGTAGGTGTTTCTATGATAAGTAGTTTCTATAATACTAAAGTGATTGGTTAAACAGTAAGTCATTCATTTTTCATACTTAGTTGTAGCAAAATCATTTACAACCATGTTTATTAACCATTTGTTAAAATTAGAAATACGAATGAAAACAGATATGTACATAGAGAGTTAGCATGAGAATATGTTTTAAGCCAAACATTGTAACTATTGAAACATGCATTACATATATATGTACTCATAAAGGGAAACAGTAAGCTACTATGTTAAATTATTGTATATTATTTAGAGATTTAAAAATTATGTTTTCATAAAAAATCCATCCTTTTCAGATGATAATTGTAAAAAGTGTGTTATGCAAATTAAATACAAAAGCAAAACTATACCACAGAATGTTAAATATGTACTAAGTTTAAACTTAAATCATAAAATATATAATTGGCTGTAGAATATTAATATCACTGTCTGGTTCAACAATTATAAGAACGAAACATTAGGTATAATAAAATCTTTTCAGAACAGATAATTGTAAAAGTATGTAAAGTAAGTTATTGACTATGCTATAATATTTGTCTTGTTCAAATAATGGATAATTTAAGATAGTATGTGTGATAAAAACTGACATATGTTATACACTATGCTGTAATAGTTGTCTCATTGAAATAATGGTTTTTCTTGTAAGTTTTAAGGACATATAATTTAATCTAGACTACAATGTTATTAATGTTGAGACATCCTACAAGCTTGGCTTGTTTTAAATTTCAGACAAAGCTACATGAAGGCTATCCGTGCTACGTTGAGCTCAACATCCTATTGAACTATCTATTTATAGAAACGCCATCCACTCTAGCAACACTTACCTTAGTAACATAATACATCTAGTAATACCATCCACTTTTGTATAATGCACACAATGAAATATATAAATATATAAACATAGGTTGAGACTAGTTAAAACCTGTATGCAATCCTATGGAAGTATAATAACACTGTCCACCTATAGAGACACCATCCACCTTTGTAAAAGACATGTAATAAATGAAAACTATAAAAATAAGTTGAGACAAGCTCAATTCTGTATGCAGTCCTATGGAAGTATAGTAACACTGTCCATCTTTGTAAAACACTGACAATATGCCTAGTAAGACCATCCACCTATTCAAACACTACCCTTAGTAACATAATCCACCCATAAAATGTTATAGAAGCTTAGCAACAGCATCCGCCTATTGTAACTGGCTCTCTAGTATCAAATTATGATGTCACCCTCCCAGCGCCCACTAGTATTACTTAGTGGAACTATGACACTTAGCAACATTTCTCTCTGTTGAATAACGCTCGAAATCTAATGTCACGTGACATCTCCTAGCAACATGTTATCTGGCAGCGACAACTCCCGTCGTCAAGTGTCATGTCGACATGACAACCTTCGGTCATCTGTTGTCATTTCGTGATCTTTGACGTCACTTCCCACACAGAGGTAATGCCCTAACTACATTGTTGGTGCCATTTAATGGTTTTCCATTGGTTACAAGACGTTTTAAAAGAGAATTGTGAAAGTTTTGCATGTATACGGTTATACTAATGTTACTTTGTTAAATGAATATGAAATTTATGAGAGTACTCGAAGCTAACAACTAGTGTGCTGTGTGTTCCCCAAGTAAGGTACCCTTTATTATTTATTTAGTGTTACTTAAGTTAACAATATTGGTTAAAATGTATAATATATGAAATTTCATTGGTTTTTTGTTATTATACTTTTATCTTTTTTTGCATTGTTAGCTTAGTATATGGATTTAGGACTAGCCTAAATCTCCTAAACTGGTCGAACCTAGTTAGATATTTGTGGGTTTACGGCAGAAAATATCATTAAAAGCGAGGATACCCAACTGATGAAACAATGCATTTTAATATTTATAAGTAAGAACACAAGAAAAGTGTATTTAATTAGCCATACTCATTAACAGGTTCACTTTTTGTTTTCCCATCCTCACACTTTTTCAAGCATTTTGTCATATTTTAATCTATTATATTATATTGTCAATACATGATGAAACTGATGAAACGTCCCAAACTTCTGAGAATTTTTTTCGCATTTTTCTCCAACATATTTCAAGTTAAAACACAAGAATTTTAGACCATTTTTGAATTTTGCTTTGAGTCAGCATTACTTCCATATCTTAAAATACCTCAGTATTTAATTTCCTAATTATTGTTGATACATTATAACAATTCTCTAAGAAAGTAGCATAAATGAAAAAAAAATGCCTATTCTCACCAGTTGCTTGTATGACAGGACTTAACAGTTGGGCTTTATCCCCAGGCCGACGAGGGTAAGCAGCATCAATGTATGCATAACCACCTGTAAAATAAACAGTGTCGTAATTTCTTTAAATTGATTTATGTACATTTCTTACATTTCAACGCATTTTAATTCAGTAAAACTAAAATCTGTCTCTGGTGTTTAAACAAACACTGAAAAATAAAAATGACAGCAACACCCTTACAAGAAACTCTTAGCTGATGAATAGCTATCATAATATAAATAAAACAAAAATATTTGTTGTGATTGAATAACACTACTATAACCTCTGAAAAAACACATACTACAGTTTTTCTTCCAACAAGTACTTCAAATAATAATCTAGTGAATGAAATTAGAATGATAATAATAATATTGTTTAGTGGTGCATCGTAACTTCTATTTTGCTTATACCATATAATTTGAATAGAAAGAATCTTTATTTAAAATAAGATAGTCTAGTCCAGATAAAGAATAAAATCTGAAATGAACTCTCTGAATGTAGTAGAGTATCTGTTTTACTTAACACCAAATCTATTGATTGTATGCAGAAAAACCACTTTTAAGTTTCTCCCTCACAATTTTGATGTTGCTAATTATTCGGCTTGTATTTTGTATTGCTAAGGCAGTTTCTTTCATCTCTGTAAGACGATAGTTTAATAACTTGTGTATGTTGCTAATATTTGTCTATTACAATATTACTACTAACCTAAAATATTTGTTGATGATCCAGATAAGGTTATGGATAACCTATCCCAGTATAAACTTACTGAAATAGTATTAAAAAAAAAACAAAAAAAAAACTGTTAGCCAGCGAAGTAATGCCTTTAGTTAGGATGCTCGACTTGCAATCTGCAGCTCGCGGGTTCGAATCCCCGTCACCGCAAATGATTGTCCTTTTAGCAGTTTGTTTGTTGAAGGAATTTCGCGCAAAGCTACTTGAGGGTTAACTGCAATAGTCGTCCCTAATTTTAAATTAATAGACTAGACTAATAGCTAGTGAGCACCACACGATGCCAATTCATATGCTACTCTTTACCAACGAATAGTGGGATTGGCCGTCATATTATAACGCTCACATGCCTGAAATGGCGAACCTGTTTGGTGACAGGTTTGTATTCCACGATCCGCAGTTTGTGAGTCGAGGGTAACCATCAAGTCATACCAAAACTGAATTATAATCCCACAAAAAGGAGAAGGTCAGTTACAAAGACATTAGTTATAATTTAAGAAAATAGCCCTTAGTGATGAAGAATACAAAGATATTAGACCAGTAGGTTCTCAATTGTGTTTTGTATAATTTACCAAAATACATAAGAATACTTGCCCCATTAGGCCAACAGCTTCAAATAAAGGTTATGTAGTTAAGAATTGTTTGAGATTTCTAAAGGACTAACAGATTTCAGATTTGATAAATAGGTTTATTGTTCAGGTTTTAACGTTAAGTCCTCGTACACTAACATTCCTTTACAAGAGACAGTTCAGTTCGTATCAGATTTAGTCTTTAACCCTCTCTACCCGGGTTTTAGTGTCTTACACTCAAAATTTTATTAAACCAGTTTTTGTTTATGTTATACTAATCAGAATAGCATAAACTCTTTGCTAATAATCCATATTTTAATAGTATACAAGTTGATAATTGGACCAGTTGTTGGTTGAGATGTTGCAAAAGAAAGCTTCAGCAGATATTTCTTTTGCAAACATCTCAACCAACAATTGGACGAGTTATCAACGCTATTTTCAAGTTTTGAATAACTCTACTTTCAAGATCTACGTATCTACATGAGCCGATGTTTCCATTTATCAACGTTA